TTGCATACATTTGGCCTGCAAGGGTTTCACTATGCTCAAATTAAAGTTCCTTTGCCCCCTCTAGTGATTATTTTTCAAAAGTGCAGCTTTTGATAGCAACATACAGTAATTTCAGGTTGTGTTGTTGAAGGCTTACTCATGTGTTGGAAAGTTAAGATAAGGAGTCTTGATAGCAGTTTTAAACATTCTGACACAGCAATTGGGAAACTCTACTTTTCCAGAAAGTGTCCTACAATTTATTGTTGAAGGCTTTCATGGCCAGAATCACTGGATTATTGTGAGTTTTCTGGGCTGTATGGCCATGTTCCAAAAGCATTCCCTCCTGACATTTCGCCTGCCTTTATGGCAGGCATCCTCAGAGGTTGTGAGGTCTGTTGGAAACTAGGCAAATGGGATTTATTTATCTGTGGAATGTCCAGATTGGGAGAAAGAACTCTTGTCTGTTGGAGCTAGGTGTGAATGTTTCAACTGGTCACCTTGATTAGCATTTAATACCCTGGGAAGTGATTAGCTGGCCCTGATTGTTTCTTTCTGGAATTCCCCTGTTTTTGAGTGTTGTTCTTTATTAACTGTTATGATTTTAGAGTTTTTTAAAACACCTGTAGCCAGATTTTGTTTACACGTGTCTAAATGGCGAGTGTGAGGAATATTTCAGCGAACATTTTATTCAAAATTTTGTACACACAGGAAATGAGACAACCAGATCAGGTAAGCCTTGCATGTTTACACAAAACATGGATGACCACATACTATTGCATGAACCTAAGGTCTTTTACCCTTGCCATGGAAGGTAGCTTTTTCTTGATTTCCAGGCCTGAGTGAATACTGTACCAAGATAAAAAGCAACAGTATCTCTCTACTGTTAAGAACAGTGTAGAAACAAAAATGACTCTCCTGGGTGCATCTCTTAATCCTTCTTCCTCTTTTTCATCCTGTGCCTGTTCATTCAGACAGGGGCAAACAACTAACCTTCCAGATATTGTTGACATCATTGACCAGCGATGCTGAAATAATATCAAGAGGAACACACATTCCCAGTCTCCAACTTATCCTGCAAACTTTGCAAGAAGGCAACCCTTGAATTTTCATGTTACATTGCACAATGTTTTGCTTTTTTTCATCACTTGCTCAGACTGGATCAAAATGCACATAGTAATAAAGGCAGCCGCTGTTAGTTTAACGTGAATTACAGCCCTGGCCATTACAGGAAAACAAGGAACACTATTCCAGCTCATTACTGTAAGAAGTAATGAATTACTTCCAAGCTCTGGTAATATTTGATATCTTTATAAAACTGTATTTTTTTGTGTGTGTCAGGAGTGACTTGAGAAACCGCAAGCCGCTTCTGATGTGAGAGAATTGACCGTCTGCAAGGATGTTACCCGGGGGACACCCAGATGTTTTGATGTTTTACTATCCTTGTGAGAGGCTTCTCTCATGTCCCCACATGGGGAACTGGAGCTGACAGAGGGAGCTCTTCTGCGCTCTTCCCGGATTCGAACCTGCGACCTGTTGGTCTTCAATCCTACCGGCGCTAGATTTTAACCCATTGTGCCACTAGGGGCTCCTATAAAACTCTTAAGGTTATACTGGGAATCTGTTTTTCTTATCAGGATGAGGCAGAGGTTGAATGAAGACCAATACATTGAAGCTGAATCCTGATGTGACATAGACTCTGTGTGTTTCAGTGATTTCCCTGTCCAAAAATTGTGTAAGCATTGCAACATGTTTTGGATGGGGTTACATTTGCCTTTAAAGAATATTCATAACTTAAGGGCTGTGTTTCTCAAACTCCGTCTTCCATGTGCTTTGGACTTCAGTTCCTGGAATCCCTGATCACTGGCCAAGGCAGCAGAGGCTTCCGGGATCTGAAGTCCAAAACAGAAGATTAAGAGATTCAGAATCAATGGCTGAAGGGGCAGTTCTGTCATTAGAAGTTCAGGTTATTTCAGTGGTCCAGAGTGGGTCAGCCCACAATTTCCTGGGCAGGACTACATTAGCTCCTGTACTGATAATTTCTCATTTAGAGGACTACAATGCACTCTACATGGACCAGTGTTTGAAGATCACCCATGGGTTAGTTGCATAAGGGGGAAATAGAAAGTGTATTGCATTAGCTTTAAAGAAACCACACCATCTGCCAATATAATTTCAATCCAATGTGCTTAGGTGTGGAATTTAGATATTTGAAGGAGCCTTCCTCAATATATACAGTGGGCCTTGGTATCCACTGAAGTTTGGTTCCAGTGCCCACATCAATGGTCATGTCTCATTACATACAATGACATAATAGATTTGTGTACCTCATATAAAATGGCAAAACCAAAGTTAGCTTCTGGGTCTGAGTGTGTGTGATTCATATAAGGTTACTCAGTGCTGAGCAGCGAATTGAATCTGGATGTCCACAGTCATAGTCCAACGTTTAAACCACTACATTATGCTGGCTCCCATGGGTTGGTTAGAAACATCCCATAATTTCTAGAAAAACACCCAAAACCAGAAATAAGTCACAACAGAGCATCTCTTTATTTTCACAATGTATTTTGTATCTAACATTGCCCTTAAAGCAAAATAATAGGCGGTGAGATTAGCATATGACAGGGACTGTCCATCATATTTGCATTTTATTTTCACAAATAAAGCATAACCCAACATTGCAGAACATAATGTCTTCTTTGCTCTCCACCTGTTGAGTTTCTGTGAAGGCAAGATGGCTGCCATCCTTCAGTTATCACAGTACTGTACCTTTAGTATAGACAGCATCAGCACAGTGATAACTGAGCCAGGGCAGCCTGTCAGTCATTGCCTACTCGTATCTTTGGAATAACAATGCTTCTATTTACTGGATGCAGACAACTGCAGGAACCTAAGGCTTTACCTCTCAACAGTTGTATGTACATTCAAAGAAAGATGATCATGGAGAATACCAATGCTTGGCTCTTCAACAGCATCACTGAGGTGTTGAACCTGATGCACAAATAAGAGAAATGAAAATAAATGCTGCTTGGAAGTTTGATCTTCAACCACATCACATACTTTTAAAATCATATCACTATTCAAGAAGACACCCCTTCCTCTGAAAGCCAATTCATTCAAGAAATTGGCATCACTGTGAATGACTGATGCAAAACAGAAAGGTAACTGAAAAAAAACAAACATTCATTTGTGGGTTTAATTATTCAGATTTTATTACAATATTCTCTCTAGATTCTCAATTGTGTTCTATGGTTTGCTTCCTACAGTAGTTGGCCACAGAGGGCCCCTTCCACACAGCCCTATATCCCAGAATATCAAGGCAGAAAATCCCACATTATCTGAGTGTGGGCTCAACCCAGTTCAGAGCATATAATGTGGAATTTCCTGCCTTGATATTCTGGGATATAGGGCTGTGTGGAAGGACCCAGAGTCATGCTGGACACCCTAGCAATTCCCAGAGAGATGTTCCTAATTTATAGTTTTACATTTTCACAGAAGTCCTGTGCCCCTAACCCAAGCAAATGTGGAGGGCTAACTGTACACACAAGACAATATGGCAAAGATAGCCTTCCCTAGCTCTGCTGAAATTAACCAAGATTACTGTGATTCAGTGATGTGTGCTCAGCAACCACTGTGGGGCTACATTATGCAACACCCTTCAAGCATCTTCTCACAGTACACTCCACTGAGCTTAACTTCAGTTTCAAATGCCAGCTTTGAGACCCAGAACAGGGAAATCATGAAACATGATCCAATTAATCCTGGATGTATCACCTGTATATTTGTACACTACCCAACTAGAAGAAAGCCATTCCATTTTATTCGAACTGCATGACCAAAATCATTAACTTGGATATAGCAGATTAATATCTGGAGGATCTGCTATATAAATGGGACAAAATGTGACAAAAGTTGACCTTCAACAGGCAATGTCAGTACCATTTTGGAGAGGCAGCTTTCAGACAACTCCTCTTGCACTTAACTCCCACCTCTCAACAGGTTTACTCCTGCCATACGACCTTTGTTGCTATTTCTCCTCATCACCACTTCTTGTTCTCTTGCAGCAAGCAAGCAAGCAAGGTTGGCAGTTGCTCCTTATTTTCACCACATACATGCTCATACCCCTTCTGAGACAGAACAGGAACAGTGATCAGTTCTAAGGGCCATCCTTTCATAGGAACACAAGTCTCAGCAGGTGACCCTTAAATGTCAGATTCTCACACTACCCCTCAAGGCAAACATTGCTTATTTCCCAATTTACATGTGAAATATGACCACCGAATCCATGAAGGATACATTTCCAGACTTTGTGTGGCTATGTGAAACCATGAATAGCAGTGAATACTATTGAAAGGAAGGACTTCTGCTCCAATAAAACTATGGGATCATACTCAAGGATCTAGAAAATGCCTAGAACTTTGTCAGACATGGATACCTAAAACCATGGATGCAGATACCAGATATGGGTATTGTACTGAATTATTTATCTTCGGATAAAAATGGTTCCCAGGAAACTCACTGACCATCACAAAATAAAAACACGGGGGGGGGGGGGGGGAGAGATTCAGGATGTTTTCTGCTAGGCCCAAGCTTTCTCGGACAGCTTGCTTCTTGTAGCGGATTTTGAGCAAATGGGACGTGGTATGTGATTGTGTGTGCATGTATATATGCTGCCGGGGGCAAGAGGGGGGGGGGAGGGAACTGACATTCCATTTGGTGCCATGACCACTGGATACAGGTCACTGGAATAAAATACACAGTTTCAGTGTTGTTCTAGTATCTGCTATAATCATAGCAATCTAAAGCATCTTAAACTACCTGGTGGATCAATCGTTTTCTTCCCAATGTGCCAGGGTCCGCTACCGTATTTGAGCACACATTATTAAAACATACATGTAAAAAGGGATAAAATGCAGCCGTAGATGTAAAACAATATGGCACACTCTTAAAATCTTTTCCCATTGCTGCCATCCTATGAAGTTTCAGAGCCCAGCAAGAGTAAGCCTCATGTTATGTCCCCCCCCCCCCCCAAATGCACCTCTGATGGTGATGAAACTGGCATAAGGATCTCAGGGCCTAGGCTGCTTTGTACAGAGACAGATTTGGTTACATAGGCTTTATAGTCACAAGCAGCCTAGAAACCAACCGGAAGCTCGTTTGCAACACAGGAATTGTTATGCTCGCTGTAGCAAGAGCCATTTAACACTCTGGCTGCAACTCTTTGAACCAAGTGAAGTCCCCAAACAATTTTCAAAGTAGGCCTCATGTAGTGCATGTTATAATGAGTCAAACAGTATGCACTAAATCACATAGCACCATGGTCTGATCAAGGAACTCCAACATAATAACTGCTGTGGTTCACTGATAGAGCACACACCTCTTTGAGTTGCTCAGAGATTTCAAAACTGAAGGGGAATGGTTAAAGCAGTGGGGAAAGTGTGGCCCTCCAACCATTGGAATTAAACCCACATCAGTCTTTGCCATTATCTATCTTTGCTAAAGATGATCAGTGTGGTAATTCTGGGACACCACAATGGTTCTTATCCTTTCTCTTGGTTCATATATCCCCTTAAAAAATCTTATTGGAGCTATGGATCCCGTCCATCTCCCCTAAAAATAAACCAATGTTTGTTCTTGTTTGCCTTCATGTCACTTCTGAAGGTGACCTTAAGGTGAATCCATCACTTTGCAAGATTTATTCAGAGGGCCTTTGAGCCCACATTATTTGCAAGATTTATTCAGAGTGTCTTGCCCAAGTCACCCAATGGGTTCAAACAGGTGAGCCCTGGTCTCCAGACTCATAGTCCAATGTTCAAACCACTATAGCATGCTGGCTCTATAGAATAAATATATGCACACAAAATTTTGTATATAGTTAATTTTATTGTGCTGGTTTCCTTCATACAGATTACTCTGGAAGGAAAAAAAGTTAGATATTTGAAGAAACTAAAACAATGGAGAGAGAGAAAAAAATCTTTTTTGCCCTCAGCTCATCGACTTCACAACCTGAATCCGGTCCAGATTATGAATCTCTGATCAAAAGAACCATATTCCCTAATCCTAGGCTGGAATTTAAAGGATTCCTGGGTTGTTTGCACAGGTCTACATGCAGAAGTGTATGTGTGCACATATACTATTTATAAGGGCTTATTTGAATTTTTTCCCCAAAGGGATACAAAATATAAATCAGGAATAACAACCATGTGGCACTCCTCTGTTGTTGTGGCGTTGCCCCGTGCCATGCTCACTAGGGTTCTTGGGAGCTGTAGTTCAAGGCCATCTGGAGGATTATAATTTCCCAGCTCTATATAAGTCATGTTCCTAAAAGACTGCCATCCTTGAATGACAGAAATTAACAAAATACCATTTAGATTGGTAAAAACAACATGGCACTGCTTCAGATGCCTAGATAGCATCAAAAACATAGTTAATATAACCAGTCATATTTCCACATTATTACTACTAGGGGTAAAATAGGTGATATATACATTATTATATAAAACCAATTAAAAATGGTGCCAATTCCAACACATATGAAATTGAAAGTTTTTGGTCTGGTGCCAGAATGACACAAATATTGATACCAACTGGACGTCTCAGAGAAGTCACAATGAGGGTGCCAAAGCCAAGAAGGGCCTTCTCTCATGTTCTTCTATAGCAGTGGTTCTCAACCTGTGGGTCCCCAGATGTTTTGGTCTTCGTTTCCCAGAAATCCTAACAGCTGGTAAACTGACTGGGATTTCTTTGAGCTGTAGGCCAAAACACCTGGGGACCCACAAGTTGAGAACCACTGTTTTATAGTGTTACCTCCAAGGTAGGTCACAGAGGGCAGTGCCTCCAACAGACTTTATTTACATTTGCTTGGGCACGCAAAAGTAAATATATGAACAAATCATGAGATGGGATCACTAGTTTGATTTTCTACCTCAAGGTCCAGTTTAGCATAAGTTAGTTCTGCTAATCAACTAGGTTAGGAGAATTCATTTTAAAATATTTTTATTGACACACAATTTTTTCAATCATACAAAACAAGATCTACAAATGCTACAAATGTCTACCACAGATTATACTACATACAAGGGGGAGGATAATATAACTTCCTTTCCCTTGGTCAGATCCCTTCATTCACATATTTTAAAACTTCCATTATGTGAACCTGCTATTCCTTTCTACTTATTACATCTCTACTATCTATTGAAAGCCAAAGTTGCAACGTGTGCCCATTTTGTCTTCACAAAAGTAAAAAATGCAGCCCAATCTTCTAAAAAAGTTGACCAAGGATTTTTCAAGTGATCAACATTTTTGCTAATTCAGGTGGAGAAGTTAAAGGGTTTCTGCTTCTTACAGTGGATATACGGTTGATGGAAGCATTTTTGGCTCTCTTCTCCATCCAATGTGTTCAGTTCAAATTGGGACTTGGCTCCAGAACCATCTTAATATCATGGGGGGTTCTATCCAGTGGTTCCCAACCTGTGGGTCCCCAGATGTTTTGGCCTTCAACTCCAAGAAATCCTGGGAGTTGAAGGCAAACTGGCTGGGATTTCTGGGAGTTGTAGGTCAAAACACCTGGGGACCCACAGGTTGGGAACTACTGTTCTGCACTATATCCTATATCTTTACTTAAACTCACTTGAACAAACACAGCAGAAGTCAGATGTCATCCATATTTTCTACCAAAACCAGAAAAAAGTCAACAATGACTGGTCTGCAAGTAGAATCAAAAGGCAGGCTTACAGGGTGATGCTGACATTTCCTACATAAAGACAAAAGCTGAAAAAGAATTACATAATAAGAGTGCTTATATAAGTGGTGATTTAGGATGCAACTCAGCTATTCGTATCAGTGACTCCCTTTGCCTTTAACTTCATTGGAAAGCAGATTGTAACCTCAGGGCACTCTGTTCCTTGACATTTAGATCCAGAATGGAAAATATTCCTCCAACTGACGACGGAGGAAGTGAGGTGCAAATATATAAGTAAATGCATTCACGTTACCTGAATCTGAAAACTGATTTGTATATATTTATAGTTATCAGTGTTTGGAAATTAGTTAAAGAAAGACCAGTTCATTTTGAATATTGCAGTGGCAAAATCGTAAAGTAACCAACCAGCTGCTGTGAAAAGAAAAAACCACAAGAGGGCAACAATGAGACAAATTCTTGCTCAAAATATTTGTAACATGTTAAAAAGAAACCAGAAACAAATGTTACATAAGAAGAGAGCGATATTTACACAATGGAACAGGAAGCTCAATTAACCCAGTTAATCTGAGCATGTTTATTTGAGTGGCTTGACAAGGATATTTGCCCAGGTTTTTAAAAAGCCTCTTTTTTGAGGTACATGCATTACAGAGGAGGCACACTTCAGGGATCCTTTACTATTTAAACATAAGCTGCTTCCAGTGGTTCGAATATTTGGTTTTCCAGATGTTTTTGAGAATCCCTGGCCATTGCACAGCTAAGACTTCTGGGATTAAAACTCAAAATATCAGCAAGCTGAGAACCACTGTGCTGAATGCAAACAGCTCCTTGATTTCTCCTCAGTTGAAGAACAGAAACAACAAGTTAGCTGCTGAATAGGAATCTATGTAAATGATAAGGAAACTGACAGATACCTTTTTAGAAAGAAACCTTTCTTTCTTTATGACAACTTGTGATTTTATCCTCAATTCAATTAGGTTGATCTTCTCTCCTTGTTTCATTGTACAATGACAATAGAGTAAACTATTTTATTCAACATCACGTTTTACAGTGACAAACACACAGTTTGTGTGTGTCAAGAGTAACTTGAGAAATTGCAAGTCGCTTCTGGTGTGAGAGAATTGGCCATCTGCAAGGACGTTGCCCAGGGAACGCACAGATGTTTTAATGTTTTAACATTCTTGTGGGAGGCTTCTCTCATGTCCCTGCATGGGGAGCTGGAGCTGACAGAGGAAGCTCAATCCACTCTCCCCAGATTCGAACTGCTGGCCTGTTGGTCAGCAGTCCTGCCAGCAAGAGGGTTTAACCCATTGCACCACCGGGTGCTCCTAGAACTACAGTTGTCACCTGCAAAGTATACAAATCCTTTTTGAAATTCAACCAGAGCTCTTGGTATAATGGTTTTCATAAACTTAATTGAGGTTTAGATTATCAAAATATGCCTGAGCATTATTACTAGGAATTCAACTGCTATGCAAATATAAGCTATCAATAGGAAATCTACAGGTAAGCCTGCAGTTTGGGCTTCATTGTTTCATGGCACAAGGGATGCTCTGACAATAAGGAATACAGTGTTTCCTCCATTAACAAATCTTATTATAGTGGTCTTTTACAAATTGTCCAGCTCCCCCTTTTCTTTCATATTAATGTCTAGCAGCATCAACATGGGTAGGATTATGAAACACTCCTGTCAGTTTACAGGAGTGTCAGTAGTAAACAAAGCATGAGCTGGAAATATTGAGATACTGATCATGCTGTAGCCTGGAATGCATTGCTACAACTGGGAAGGTTAACAGCAGCTGTCTCCAAAATCCTTTACTGGGCATACGGAACAGCAAAATAGAGGGAAGAATGAATGGGTAGACAAGTCTGCCTCACCAGCTATGGCCAGGATGTGAAAAGTATACCTATACATCTGGTCAAGAAAAAAAAAAAAGTGGAGGAGGCTGATGAAAGATAAAAAATAATCCCTAGATGCATTTTGGAAAATTACTTTCAAGTAATATTTTTTAAACTTATGTATGGCTTACCTGACCTGGCCGCTTCATTTCACATTGTATACTATTTGCTTTGGATAAAAAAGTTTGCTGAAACATGTTAAAATATTCTTTTTTTGCATGCAGAAATTTATCCCTATTTTGTCCATGTTAGTTCTGCCTCCAATACCAAAATTTCTATTAATGAGGTACTGCCTAAGAACTGGAATATATTGCAGTGTGGACTCAGATAACCCAGTTCAAAGCAGATATTGTGGGATTTTCTGCCCTGATATTCTGGGTTATATGGCTGTGTGGAAGGGCCCTCATTTGCTCTTTTAACTGAGATATTATTGTACACGAGGCTTTTCCAAAACACATTTTCTACACTATTATATCTTCAGGAGATGATGACATTATTTTTATTGTCTACATATATGCACAACTAGAAGAAGGTGAAGAATAGGAAAAAGACTTTTACTTTTTACATGGAAAAAAAACTGTCAATGCTAAATCTTCACTTGCCTCTTGCTCTTCACATACCTTCTACATTTGCAATACATTTTGTCCACAATGGAATGGATGACCAAGCTTTCACCAGATGCCATATTTTCTTTCTTCTAGGAGATTAGGATGATGCCAAATGATGGAACATAACAAGATGGAGAAGATGGAACATGAAATCCATAATCTGGCTAACTCCCTAGATTTAATATTCTGGATTAGAGCAATTATGCAAAAATAAGTAGTGAATGTGCTGTCGAATGTCTTGAGCCTTGCGTCTTATCTACCATCCTGTTGATGGCAAACACAAGTTCCCAAATGTCTTTGTATGCCCTTTTTGGATTATTGTGGAAGTTGGTCTTTTCTTTCCTACTCTTTGGTGGACCCTGGTTTTCTTTTTTAATTGTGTCAGAAGGGAATTGAGAATATACTGCAAGACACTTCTGGTGTGGGAGGATTGGTCATCTACAGATGTTGCCCAGGGGATGCCAGGATGTGTTACCATCTTATGAGAGGCTTATCTAATGTCCCCGCATGGGAAGTTGGGGCTGACAGATGGGAGCTCACTCCATCTCGCTGATTCAAACTGTCAACCTTCAGGTTTTTAGGTCAGCAGTTCAGCCGGCACAAGGTTTTAACCCATTGTGCCACCACAGCTCCTGGACCCTGGTTGATACCAACAGAAATGTAAATCATCTTGTTTCTGGCTACATGAATACAACCGGATTATTTTCCTTTCCCATGGGACACAAAATGGCCATAAAGTAATGAATGATAAATCTGGGAGGCTCGTACAGTCTAGCATAAGTTCACATGTGGGACTACTATATTATGCTAAATCAAACAGGATTGCAGTCAATTTCTTTCAGGCCAGAGACTGCAACATTATAGTTTGTCCATTTCATTTTTCTTTTGAAATAAAAATCCAAATCCAACTAACTCTATCATGGTACGAGCAAAAAAAAAAGTGTCTAAATAAAAACAACATCTGTATGAAAATCTAGATAATAGCAATCGCCATATTAGAAAATAAGTGCCTGTGCTTCATAAAAATTACATTTCCTGAAAAAGTATTAAATCACTTCCATTTTCTGAAATGGGAAAAAGACATGATTTAGGAATGCAGACATCAAATTGTTGGCACATAGCTGGAAAATGTTTTTAAAATACAAAAAAACTCAGATGAGCTTCACTTATTTTTTTTTTTAAAAAACTAGGCTGTAACACTGTAACACTTTAATAGACTCAGATACAAATTTCAGCTTAGTCATGCAAATACTCAGTGGCTTCCAGCGTAACTTACCTCTCTGTATAGATATGGCCTTATTATGGGATGGGTTCCCATTTATGCTTCTCAGCTGTCTGGATGAGAAGCTTTTGGTCTGGAATCCAGCACAGTTGATGAGCTCAAGTCCCAAGACAAAATTTTGGGCAGTCAGTTACAATGTGAGACTGCTTACTATCCAAGACCCCAGTGAGTCACTGCCACTCAGCACAGACAACTCTGAGCTAGATCTAACTCAAATGTATAGGTTCCTGCAGATATAACTCATAACCTCAAATCGGGATGCTATTTGAATCTTTAAAATTCTGTCCAGAGAAGCACTCTGAAGCTAGAGTAGGTGAACAATCTTTGGGCTCCTGTGTCCTCTGCTCATAATTTCTCTTCTTCCATGATAACCATAAGCTTAGAAGCTTTTGGCTCTGTTTTCAATGAGCCACAGTTGTTGTTGTATTTAGATCTTGTTTTTCTCCATCCAAGCCCAAAACGTTTAGAGTTACATCCAAATTGACTGTAAAACTAACTGAAACAAAGCAAATACCGCACAGCTTGAAGTCATCACAGCATACAGGAAACCATACTTAATGCCAACCCCAGTTTATCCACACAAAAAATGTAGTCACCATGGCCATGCCAGAATAAAAGGGCAGGGACTCATACACCCACAGTTCATTGGCACAACCATCTTTATGTTTTCAACATGTTCCTTTCTTACTATGGTTTTTACTGTTTGTGAAGTTTATGTGAAGATATGCTATTTTTTAATTTAAAACAAATTCAATCTGTTCAGATATGAGTTTTTGGCTGTGGTTCTGTACTGTTCCCTGGGACCATTTTAGTTTGATATGCCAACCATTTCAGAACTAGACACTGAGGACAATATCACATTAGTGTTTTAATGTGGGCATTCCCACTTTGCTATCATGTGGCAGCCTCCTGCAGAATTCTGGGAAATGTAGTTCAGGGAAGCTGAGGACCTCTCTGGCTGAGAATTCCAAAGCTCCCCCTCCCCTCTCAACTCCAAGCCCCAGAATTCTGCAGGAAGCAGACACACAATAGCAAAGTGGGAGCCCCCGCTTTAAAACACTAATGTGACATCATCCCCATGGGTTCCTTCTCCACTTTTGGGTGACAATTCAAACCCAGTTACTTTTTAGGACAGTGTTTCTCAACCTTCCTAATGTCAGGACTCTTTAATACAGTTCCTCATGTTGTGGTGATCCTCAACCATAACATTATTTTCGTTGCTACTTCATAATTGTAATTTTGCTACTGTTATGAATTGTAATGTAAATATCGGATATGCAGGGTGCATTTTCATTCACTGGTCCAAATTTGGCACAAATACCCGATACGCCCAAATCTGAATACTTGGTGGGGTTGGGGAGGGGATTGATTTTGTTATTTGGGAGTTGTAGTTGCTGGGATTTATAGTTCACCTACAATCAAGGAGCATAGAATTTGCCGTCTGTTTCCAAAGAGGAAGAGAGGGACAGGCAGAGAGATCTTCAGCTTCCTCTTTCAAAGGGGTTCCTAAGACCATCAGAAATATGTGTTTTCTGATGGTGTTTGGCGACCCCTCTGACATCCCCCTCGCAACCCTCCCAGGGATCCCAACCCCCAGGTTTAGAAACACTGCTTTAGGACTACCTACACTTCTAACCAAACTAGTGAGTCTTATGAAAAATCAACTGGATGGGCCAACCATAATGTGATGCAAGCTGAAGAAAATTCCTTTTGCTCCAAACATGGCTGCTTGACTAATGTTTGTTGCTATAGTTCTTTTTGTGTGTGTGTGTGTGTCAGGAGCGACCTTTGAAACTGCAAGCCACTTCTGGTGTGAGGGAATTGGCTGTCTGCAAGGACGTTGCCCAGGGGATGCCCAGATGTTTTACCATCCTGTGGGAGGCTTATCTCATGTCCCCGAATGGGAATCTAGAGCTGACAGATGAGAGCTCACCCCACTCCCTGGATTCGAACCGCCAACCTTTTGGTCAGCAGTCCTGCCAGCACAAGGGTTTAACCCATTGCACCACTGGGGGCTCCAATGACACATTAAAAAAAATTAATGGCTTTGTCATTAAAACTTGACTGTGCAAGAACCACCCTTTAAAACAGAGTGCTGGTGGACTGTGACTCCCATTAGTTATAGTCTGCATAAGCAGTGCTGGCAAGACAGATACAAACTGCAGTCCAGCAATTTTGTGGACAGCTAGATTTCCCCATCCATGCTTTACAACTTGGGACTACACTGCCACCCAACTGTTTCCATCCCTAACAATATGGTGCTTCTCAATTATGCCTACTGAACTATGGCACCAATCCTATAGGTTTGGAGCACATAATATGCTGGTTCAATAATAAGTTTTCCCACCTCATTGTGTAATCTATATTCACTCAATGTGAACCTGCTGCTAAATTGTCAACTATACAAATCTATTCTTTCCCATATTGTCTGCTTGTTCAATCTTTGCAATTACGAACTTTTATACTTTCTGGTCTTGATGTCCTCATTGTGGTTTAGATTATAACTCTCATAATACCTAACTGGTGTCTAGTGAGATTAAGCTTTTGGAAATTGTACTCCCAAACATTTGGACAGGAGAAGGTTATGAAATATGGTTTAATGAGAATAAGGTGTACTAGGAATTGATTGCCATCTTGATTAAAAAATATTGTGTACACTCCACTGGGACTATATATGTCAGGCCCATGAAAGTAATTCTCATTTCAATGTGATTTCAGCAGAAGTTCCCAGTGGATGCTGCCTGCTCTGTGTAATTACAACAACAGCAGAATTCTGTTGCTATCACTAAAAAGGAAATCTATATATTTGAAACTGACGAATTAGTAAAAGGAGGGAAATGCAGACCTGTGCAAAGCAACAACATAGTTCTGAGAACATTGGTTCAATAAGTCTCATTAAAGGCAGTGCCATTTCCCTGTAAGTTTAATGAACCAGGCTTGCTCTGTGTTTTCTTTCCTATGTGTCCTGAATATTTTTAAGCATCAGACACATCTTTAAGCCCCATTCCCCTCTCCTCCTCCTCTTTTTGTCACCTCTTATTTCACTAAATCAGTGGTTCCCAACCTTTTTTTGACCAGGGACCACTCTCCAACATTAGTACCAAAAGGGTACAAATCAGTTTTTGGTCAACTTTAGATTCAGTTTGGTTATTTGGGGTGCTGATTCAGAAAATTGAATTGGATAGGCCATCAGCTCTAGTTTCTGATACAGAACATATGCCATCCAGTAGTTACCATTTGCTCGCCCACAGAAAACCATATTTAATAAGCCTCGGCACAGTAAGAGGATTTCGCGAGACCAGTCGCTTTTGTTGCAATGGTGTAGTAATGGTGAGGCCACATACCATATTTTGTTCTTGTGGACCACTGGAGGTCCACGGACCACAGGTTGGGTACCACTGCAGTAGATAATAGTGATTTTCTGGAGATAACCACTTACTGAGGTCCCATCTATGCTGCCATATAATTCAGTTTCAAACTGCATTATATGGCAATGTAGAAAGTGCCTAAGACTCTCACTAAACATACTTGCAACTTTCAAACTGCATTATATTTATTTATTTATTTACATCATTTTTATCCCGCGCATTTCAGCCCGAAGGCGACTCAGGGCGGCATCCAAACCGACAACAACTAGCTGCCGTATATAAAAACATACCTAAGTCAGTTAAAACAATATAAATCACAACCTAAATACATATAAAAACCATAACAACCATAAAAAACTATAGAAGTCTATAAAAACACTGTTCAATCCAATTCCTCATCCATTTACAACGTCTTTAGCAGTTCCGTATTCATATTCCA